ATGTAGATTAATTTGGGTAGAATTGCCATTTTGATTATGTTAATTCTTCCAATCCAGGAACATGTGATGTCCTTCCACTTTTTTATGTCTTTATCAATATCTTTTTTAAGATTTTCATAATTTTCTTCGTAAAGATCTTTGACTTCCTTAGTTAGGTTTATCCGTAGGTGTGTTATACATTTTGTGGCTATGGTAAAATGGATTCCTTTCTTCAGCTCTACTTCGTTCAACTTGGTTATACATGGAAATGCTATAGATTTTTGGATGCTCATTTTGTATCTTGCCACTTTACTGTATTCACTTATTACTTAGAGGAGTTTTTTTTTTTTTTAATGGAAACCTTTGGGTCTTCTAAGTATACCATCATGTCATCTGTGAATAAAGGTATTTTCAGCTCTTCTTTGCCTATTTGAATGCCTTTTATATTGTTCTCTTTTCTGATTGCATTAGCTAAGACTTCCAGCACTTACACATATATTTTTTAAAGTTTGTTTCTTCCAAGACAGAGAGAGGGAGAGGAGCCCCAGCACAGTACTTATGCTGCCATCAACCCCATTTCAGGCATCTTGCAAAAAGAGCATATGTGTACTTGCAGGGCTCAGGGAGGTCCTGGGCTGTGAACCCAGGACCACTACCATGTGGGCACAGCTGTGCTCCTACTGTGCCATCAACTGGCCCCAGAGCAAGCGTTTTGTTATCAAGATCAGATAATAAATCTGTCCTGGCCCTGTTGAGGACTCCTGGGCTAGCTGTTTGACCTCTATTTTCTCATCTGTAAAATTAGGATGTTATTATGGTTGACTTTGATGATAATGTGAATCCTGGTGTTAGGAGTTACAGATAAAGTACAAAGGGTTATGTGAATGTCAGCTATTCTTGTTGTAACTCAGGGTCTGGGGTTTTGATCCTATGAAATCCCTGATCTGCTCTGGCCCCATAATGGACTTCTTGGAGCCAGGTATTTTTACAAACATGGTAGATGTAGACACACCTCAGTTTCCAGGAATCCCATATTCGAGGCCCACAGTCAGCCCAAGACAGGTGGTAGGTGCTTCTCTGTAGACATGGCAGGGTAGGATCAGGCTGAATGGCTTTTATAAAAGAAGTTCCACTTTACATCAGCTTTTGGAAATTACAAATTGCTTTAGAAGTCTGAATCTAGATCCAATAGTTTTAAAACCTTTATGAAGAGAATAAAAAAATCTACTATTTAAAAACTAGTATCACGTGGGGGCCCGCAGGTGGTATAGTAGTTAAGGTACTTGACTCCCATGTTGCTGACCATAGTTCGATTCCCAGACCTAGCAGCTTGAAAATCACACTGGAAAAGTGTGTATATGTGCCAAAAATCCTGAGAGAAGACTGGAGGAGAAAGGTTTGTGTTGTGGCCATTCCCCTTGGGGAGTGATTTCTCACTTTCCCTATCTCTGTTTCTCCCCAGTGAGTGCACATACCCTGTGGGAAAAAAACTTAAGAAAATAAATAAAAACTATGAGGTGATTTTCTCTTTTGTGAGAGATTAATAGTTTGGGAGAATTGCTTTTCTGTTTGAAAAGAGGTAAAAACAAACAAACCAACAAAACAAAACAAAACAAACAAACTAAAACACCTACTATTCTTTTGTTTCTCCAAAGATTCAGCTATGATCCTACTCTGAAATAGAGTTCAAGACAATGCAGAACCACATCGTTTATTTTATTTTATTTTATTTTATTTTATTTTATTTTTTTGGAGAGGTTTTTGCTATAGGGTACATGTGCTCGCCAGAAAGACAGAGAGAGACAGAGAGACAGAAAGTGAGAAATCACCCCCCTGGGGGGATGGTCATGCCGCAATCTCTTCTCCTCCATTCTCCTCTCAGGATCTTGGGCACGCACGCACACGCGCCCACTGTGCGTTTAAGCCGCCGGGTCCAGGACTCTAACCACAGTTGACTACATGGGAGTCCAGCAACATAGCCATTATGCTAACTGCTGGTTCCTAGAACCACATGGTTCTATTTTTATTTTTAAAAAAAATTTTTTTGAAGAGGTTTTTGCTATAGGGCACGTGCGCTCACCAGACAAAGAGAGACAGAGAGATAGAAAGTGAGAAATCACCCCCCAGAGGGGATGGCCACGCCGCAATCCCTTCTTCTCCTCTTGGGATCTTGGGCACACATGCACACGCGCCCAGCGTGAGTTTAAGCCACCTGGTTCGGGACTCGAACCATGGTCGATTATGTGGGAGTCCAGCGACATAGCCATCACACTAACTGCTGGTCCCAAGGACCACATGGTTTCTATAATAACGTCGAAGATGGTCTTCACCATAGGTATAACTGCATTTCTCCATTGGGTCATTTACTTATTTATTGACCTAGGAGATTCTGAGCTCTCACTGGGTGCCTTACACTCCTCGCAGCCTTGGCATTGCCCACTAGGAGTTCATAGTCTAACAAGGGTGACAGGCACCAAGGGAACAGCAACATCACTGGTACTTAGTGCTGTGAAGCCAAGGGGACGTGTGTTGGGTCCAGACTTGGTCTCGAAAGGCTTTTCTGAATAAGCAGCTCTCTTCTTTCTTTCTTTTACATTTTTCTGTCAAATGTTTCCTCCGCTTGTACCTCACACCCACCCTTCACCACTCACTCTCTAACATCCACTCTCACCCCTTACAGTCTTTAGCATTTACATCCATCCTCTTCACAGTCATATTTTCAAGTCTCTCAACTTCTGCTGTGGTAGTTAGTACAAATTGAGTGGGGATATACAATGTGTATCTTTAAATCTGGCTCACTTTGATGAGTAGTAAGTCTTCTATATTCATTCATTCATTTTCAGTCAAATGATAGGATTTCATTGTTTCTTATATCTATGTAATATTTCATAGTATATATGTGCCATAGTTTTTCAACCCAATCATCAGTTTTCCCTTTTCACCACAACCTCACCAACACGTGTTTATATATATATATACACACACACACACATATATAATATATATAAATACATATATATTAAAAATATATAAAATATATATGTATTTATATATAAAAAATATATATGTCTTAATATTAGACATTCTAACTGAGGTTAAATAAAATCTCATTGTAGTTTTAATTTGCATTTCCCTTATGACAAGAGACTTTGAACATTTTTTCATATGCCTGTTGGCCATTCGTAAGTCTTCCTTGGAGAGTTGATTATTCAACTCATTTGCCTATTTTTCAATTGGGTATTTTTAAAATTTGCAAACTGTTTGAGTTCTCTATATTTTCTAGATATAAATCCCTTGTCTGAGGAATAATATACAAATATTTTGTACCATTCTGAGGGTGGTTACTTTTTCACTCTAGTAATAGTCTCTTTTTCTGTGAGGGAAATGTTTAGCTTATTTAAGAAATCTTTTCCTACACCAATGTCTTCAAAAATTTCTCCTATGTGTTCTACTAATAGTTTGGTAGTTAGAAGCTTTATATTTAAATCTTTGATTCATTTTGAGTTAATTCTAGTTAATGATGAGAGATAGGGGTCCAATTTCATTTTTGTACAAATGGACATCCAGTTTTCCCAACACTGCTAGAAAGACTTTCTTTTCTCTATCACATTGTCTTATACCCTGAATAAGTGACTTTTAAGCTGTTCACCCAAATACTGAAATGGAAAAACTACAGAAAAGATTAACATGGCCTCTGCTCGAGGATGACATGCAAATTTGTGAAGCAGTCCATAATTTTGCACAATGATGTCTATCTATTTAATGCCACTGAATGATACGGTTAAAGTCATTACAATGGTGTTACACTATGTTTATTATACCACAATTAAAAGATAAAGGAATGGGGTTGGGTGGCATTGGGAAGGTCCCACTTCAGGTAGAGGGAACAGCAGGTACAAACATTAGTGTACTGAGAGGAAAGCTAGCAGGGCTGACTTTGTGGAGGTGGTGTGCTGGAGTTACAGGCAGAGCATTCTACATGGAATCTACTTATTGATCTTTGTCCTGAGGCCAGTGGGAAATTACTGCACAGTTTTTATTAGGGCAGTGACATAATTTGTGTTTTTAAAAATCACCCTTGGGCTGTCTCCATAGCCTAGTGATTAAGGGAGCTGCATCCCACATGGCCAAAAGCAGTTCACATCCCAGCCTTAGTACTTTGAAAAACGCAGTATGTCCCAAATCCTGACAGGATGGAGAAAGGGAGAAGAGATTATGACATAACCATTAAGGGTACTTTCTCTTTTTCTGTCTCTCTTTGATGAGTACACATGCCCTCTGGCAGTTAAACAAAAAGTCACCCTGGTCTAGAGTGGGAAGTGTATTGACGGGCAATGGATGAGGCTGACCAGTTAAGAAAGTGTCAGAGTTCTTCAGGAGAGAGTCAGTTGCTACTTAGACTAGTGTGTTGAGACTGAGATGGAGAAAAGTTGGTAGATTCAAGAAAGCGTGGAGGACAAGACAAATGGTTGAACATTTTTCTCCCTGTTTATTTTTTTATTTTTTTGTTAGGTTTGTTGTCTTTATCTGGAATATCTTCATAAAAATAGTTTGGTTTAGCTCTCAGCAGCCGCTCCTGAGCTCTGAAGAAGCTTGCCTTCTTTTGGGCTACCCAATCTTTCTACCAGACAAGGACATTTTGGGACAATTCCACCTTTTCTTTTTTACTTCTTACTTGGGCTTCTTTTGATAGACTGGGTTCTCTCATATAGAAAACAGTGTGGGCTTTCTTTTGTTGGGTCATTGGGAAAGTCATGATACATTTTTGCATAGAAAAATACATTATGACTTTCCTAATCATCTAATACACTTCCACGTGTGGAGTTACATTGTTATTTATGTATTGAGAAAATTATTTCTTGGAAGTATCTTCATCTTCTTCCATTAGGTATCGCATATAGTCTACAACATTCTGGCCTGGGGTGTGCTTCCAATTTCAAGTACTTTGGCATGAAATTCCTTGCTTTCAGAATCATAACCAGGGAATTGTTTGATACTGTGAGCAATAGATAAGCCTTCATCCACTGCTCCTTTCAGGGTCCCAAAAACTTTATTGCCAGTGGTAGTTCTGGCAAGGCCTACATCCAAATAGGAGGTGAAGGCACCAGGTTGACCATCAAGGCTTTCTATGTTGTATTCATCTCTGGTCACGTCCACTTGGCCTTTGTGGATCTTGTCCACAACAATCTATTGAGAAGTAGCAGGCCAGCACAATATGTGACCCAATATAAGAAAGCCCACACTACTATATGAGAGAACCCAGTCTATGAAAATAAGCCCAAGAAAGAAGTTAAACAGAAGAGGTGGAATCATCCCCAAATGTCCTTGCCCAGAAGAAAGATCTACTAGCCCAGAAGAAGGCAAGCTTCCTCAGAGCTCAGGAGCAGGCTGCTGAGAGCTGCCGCAGCATGCCAATACGATACGCTGCAGCATCATTTGTCAGGCCAGCCCTCACACCGTATTTTGGCAGTTCATGAGCACAAGCTGTGTAGACTACCATATGCCCTTTTGTGGGCATGAGCAATCTGACAAATGATATCTGTTAGCGACATGAACTATCATCCTGTATTTGGATGTGTTGTACTTATTTTTATCCTGGATCACCAAGCGTTTCTACGCATACTAGGTTTATCTTCTTGTTATCTTCTAACTCCCATTTGGTACCTCACCAACTTTAACAAATCCCATCCTGCAGAACAGAGACCTAATTTCTGGCAGAGCCTCCAGTAATAGTACCTGACTCACAGTACAGTGATTTATTTATTTATTTATTTATTTATTTATTTATTTATGGATTTTTGCTATAGGGCTCATGCACTCGCCAACAAACAGAGACAGAGAGACAGAAAGCAAGAAATCATCACCCAGGGGGATGACCATACCACAATCCCTTCTCCTCCATTCTCCTCTCAGAATCTTGGGCACGTGCACACGCAAGCCCAGCATGAGTTTAAGCTGCCAGGTTCAAGAGTTGAACCATGGTTGACTATTGACTACATGGGAGTTCAGCAATGTAAACATTACACCATCTGCTGGTTCCAGAGTTGATTTCTGAGGCATTCTGTCATGGGACATGCAAGGACTTAGGACCACTCCCGTGGGAGAACACGGGACACCCAGGCTGCCGTGTGCAGCAGGCCTGCCCCATAGGGCAGGTGACAAAAACAATTTCTTCTTCCCAAAGAAGCCTCACTGGCTCTGTGGCATAACCTTGACAGATCCACCCACGCTGTGGGGTGCACACAGCTGGCAAGCCCTCTGCATGTCCCACTCTGGTCCTCTAGACCCAAGGGCCGGCAGTCCTGAGAGAGCTTCTGAAACAGCAGCCTACAAGGCTGGTATTGGGAGCTGAATGACGTTACATCCAGTCACGGGGATTGTGTCTCTGCAACAGCTGCCTTTTTATTTAACGATCTAGGAAAATAAAAATGTACCCAGCTGAGATCCCCCAAGGCCGAGGAGGCTTTGTTTCTGTGGGCCTCTCTCCTCTCTGCTGCTAGCTTCTGGGTAATCCCTAGGACCATCCCTGCGGCACTGCCAACTAACCTCATTCTTTATTCATGCTCCACTGATGAAAGACGTGTAAAGGCTTTGACTGAACAACTAAATGTCAAGAAAACAACATTTAAGATATACCACCCAGGCAACTGAGCATGTAATAAATGCCTGCAATTAGTCACACATGCTTGGAGAAGCAAACACTGGCTGGATTGAACGAAGATCTTTTTTTTTTTTTTTTTTTTTTTTTTTTAGATTTTTGCCATAGGTTGCATGCATGCATCTGAGAGAGATGGCGGGGGAGGGGGGTTTGTGAGAAAAATGAGAAATCACTAAGAGGCGATGCCACGCTGCAAGTTTTTCTTCTCTAGTCTCCTCTCAGGATTTTGGGCATGCACAAACGTGTTTCGCATGATTCAAGCTGTTGGATCTGGGACTTAAGATGAGAAGTTAGTCATACGGGGTCCAGTGCCTTAACCACCATGCCACCTGCTGGACTAACAACTTTTTTTTTGCTTTGTTTGTTTCTTCTTTTATTATTTTCATGAGGCAGAGACAGAAAGAGAAAGAGAGAAAGAGACAGAAACAGGCATCCACGATAGGGTCCTCGTGCCGTGATCTACCCCCAGTCTCAGCCATCACAACACACAGGGGGATGTGAGCCCAGGACCCCTCCCACAGAGGGCCATCTGCCCCACCACCTGGACAAAAGGACAACTTTCTAATTATTCCCATGGCTGACTCTTCTCACAGCATACGAAAATATATGGAACAATTCTGGGGCAAGTCCAGAAGTTTATTCCCTGGAAACGACTGGTCACAACTGATTTAAAAGTGGATAAGAGTATGCGCTAAGCCATTAGCAGCAATGACTCACCTCAGATTTGTAGGTAAACATGTACCAAGGAAAACCTGATACTCTGCAAATGCCACCCAAGGTAATCATGATGTGTTTCAAGACAGCACAGCATGATAGGAGTGAGGGTACATACACCACACACGCAAACACGCTAGTTATGTCTAACGACAACATTCTTGTTTGAAGAGAGGGGGGTGGGGCACACTCGAGTGTGGGAAAAGGGCGAGAAACAAGAACATGTGGCGTTTTGCCACGCTCCCATTCCACACTCACCAGGCACCTTCTCTTAGAAATTTTTCTCTGCTCATTGGCTCTCCTGCAGGTAAAAGAAAACATGAGAAGTTGGTATAAAGATTCTGAATCATTTAATTAAAACACTCCTTGTTATAAATTGCTCAATTGTTATTCAGATTTGCATAGACTCCTTGATAAGTTAAGTTAGTGCCGGTAGGGTAGGCCGCCTCTAAACTGCGTGGACCTTCCCCTGAGCCTGCAGTCTGTGGGGTGGTAGGACACTTAGTTTAAATAGACCATTCTAAATTTGAGCATTTCATCTGTTTAAATGCTCTCTTAGATAGAAGCTCACCCTTTGAGGTGTCATGATCTGATTTTCCTCCTTCCTGATGTCCTGTCCCAGAGTATGAAGTTTATCATATAATTAAGAATCCTGGGACCAGCAGTTAGCGTAATGGCTATGTCGCTGGACTCCCACATAGTCGACCGAGGTTAGCGTCCCAGACCCAGTGGCTTAAAACACTCCAGGCGCGTGTGCGTGCGTGCCCAAGATCCTGAGAGGAGAATGGAGGAGAAGGGATTGCAGCGTGGCCATCCCCCTGGGGGGTGATTTCTCGCTTTCTGTCTCTATCTCTCTCTGTCTGGTGAGCGCACGTGCCCTATAGCGAAAACCTCTCGCCCTATAGCAAAAACCTCTCCAAAAAAAAAAAAAAGAATCTCACTAGTCACTGGCCCTGGTTCCTGGGAGGGAGACTTTAAATTCTCTGAATTTCCTGAGTCATAGAAGTATCTTTGTTATTCATGAGTCCCTTGGATCAGACCTGAGTTTATCCTAACAAGATGACTCAGGATAGGGGCTGGTCACCAGCAAGACCAGCCAGGTGATTAAGGGTTGGGACCCTGAGTCAGCTTGGACCCCAAGGAGTTGGGGGTAGCTGGAGGTTGAGTTCAATTACATGGCCAATGATCCAGTCCACAATGAAACCCCAATACGAACTCTGGACACAAAGCTTCCTGGTTGGTGAGCACGCTGATATGCTGGAGGTGCTGGTGCATCCTGGTTCCACAGGGAAAGGCACAGAAGCTCTGTGAAAGGGTCCTCCCATACCTTGCTCCATGTGTCTTCGTTTGGCTGCTTCTGATTTGAA